AATAACATTTTAGGTTTTAGTTGGAAAAAAATTGGAGTTTACATCTTTATTAATCTTAAATAATTTTTGCTTTAAATTTTATTTTTTCTTAGAAAAGGATACAAAAAGATATAATCAAATCAGCTCATAATTATTAATTTGGCAAGGAATAAGTATTTTATGTACTGTTTTATATGTACAAATATAAAATAGGTATTAGAGGAAAATTAATTAATTTTCTTAATTCGTTAGTTCTGAACAGTCGATAGATAATCTACGTTACGTGACAACCGTATACGCATGTCCGACACGTTGGAATGCGGGATTGTCACCGTAGGCCGTCCACAAGAACCGCTTCCTAATTAAACGGTCCATTATCGATCGGCTAACGTGATTCCGCCGACGCGACGCATTTATCAGTTTTCATATTAATATCAAATCAAACACGTAATAAGTCGCAATAACATTTCAACATCGTCTTTTGTGGCTAAATCGCTTATTTGAGTAGTAAAGAACAGTTAAAGTCAGACATTGTTTGAGTAGTCGAGCTCAGTTGTAGACAGACATTGCGGAAGAAGATCTTTAAGTAGTAAAGACCTAACTAGATCAGACACGTCTCCCTCGAGTGAAGTAGTGAAAGACCGCGATGGGACATTTCTTTTGTCAGATGCTGTTTCTCCTTTATATCATCATTTGAATAGATTTTTTTATATTAAAAAATATTATAAAAATATGTTTTGTATAAATTAAAAAGTTTTTTTTATAATATAATAACTAAAACTAATTTATACTAATCGAGAACAGCAAGTGGAAATGTTGCTGTACATTATGTTAATATATGTATTTCTGATACAATATTATGTATACACGATTTTGCCAAAAGAAAGTAAATACAGTTCCAATTGGGAGCTTTCAATTAATTGCGAATGATCGATATGTTACGTTAATTAATAGGTGTTCCATGTAATTAATTATGCGAATTATCGCTTAATATCGGCCTTTAGCGCAAGTTTACCAGCAAAAAGTCGAGAATTACAATAATCGGTAATCTGTACTTTTCCTCGATTAGCTTAAACATGAATAATTAATTAAAGTGTGCACTCTTCGCGAGGAGAAAAGCGGATCTTTCGCCTGTCGCCGATACTCGCTGTTATTAATATATTAGCAGTCTCGCGTAAGGACGCGCCGACGATGTGTGTCTCACGTAATTACGTTAAAGCTTCTCTTCGTGAATAATAAAATTAAGGACACGTTTTGGTCCCATTCCGTTCGTTAGTTCAGGCTGCTGAACCTTGACGAGGCGCGCGGACGTGTCCCTGTCGACAGGACACTTACAATTAACCGTATTTCCATGCGTGTCCTACCCGACTAGGAACAGTTTAACCAGAGCACACATTCGCTAGGATCAAGTCCTGTTACCGGAAATCAATTCTCGTCTCTCGTCCCTTCAAATTCCTCGTCTCGTTGACATCATAGAATTAATTGACCCGCTTCATTCATCAATCTTTGACCATTAAATTTGATTTATTATATTATACTTGTTAAAAAACGGAAATTAGAGAGGATTATTATTATATTTTTTTATCTACACCGAATAAATAAATTGTTTAAAAATCTTGGCATTTTAAGTAAATTATTTTGTAAATTATTTTGTTTATTTGTATCTGTGTAACGTTTGAATAACATTTAATTACATGTTACTCAATAATGAGACAATTAAAATCTCTTGGACTCTTTTATCCTCAGGTTTTAATCTGCGGAATTTTGATCTTAAAATTGTAAAAGTAAAATATCGAATCTATAAATTTTAGAATAATTGACTCTCGCGAAAATCTATTCTATTTCAAAATTTTTTTCCCTCGTCCTTGTCCCTCGGAAACGATACACTTTCCCTTGAAGTTACTATCCGCGCTTAATCGGTCGATCTTTTGTAAAGTTTCTCGGCGAACGAATAATTATACCTGATGAATATTCCATTTGATCCGACTTCGTCCTTCGTCCCCTTCCCCTCTCCGCTCATTAAGAACCGTCATTCTTGAAATCTATTTCCTTGCTAATGAATCCTTGGTTTCGCGAATTTTTTACTCTTCAAATTTTCATAATCTTTGAAAATTACCTCATCGCGATTTTAGGGAATGTGAGTTACAGAATTTTTTGCCTCTCCCAATTGATTGTCTCGAGTTTATGTTCTACGAATCTTTGAACATTTAACAATTTCTGTAATTATCCTCTTTTTTGTAATGCAAAATGTATCATGTTAGTCATGTACAGCAGTTTCTTCAAAAGCGAACTGAAAATAGAAGATCGATATTTCTAATGTACCCAATACAGTTCAAGACAGAGGTTACCAAGTATCCTTGGAGTAGCAATAGTAGAAACAGCGGCCGTGATTGACCGACACAGGACACGAATCCTTTCCTCCCCCGGGGGAGAAATTAAAGCGGCGAATCCCGTGAGTGCGTGTTATTTCTGCGCATCGATCCTTCGTTTCCTCCTGTTCATTTCTCCCGTGCACGCCCGCCGTCTTTCCTTTGTGGGCCGCCGCGGTCTATATTTGACCCCACTTCGGCTAAATTAAGTCGTCGTTTAACGCAACCGCAAGTCGTGCCGGGAAATCGCGATCCGTGATTAAAGATGCTTTAATTCAGTCGAGACACTTTGAGTTTGATTGCACTTTTGAACTTAATTCTTTTTTTGTTAAATTTTAATATCTATTATCTTTAATATTTAATGTTATTGCTATATTATCAATATAGTCAAATAAATAAAAAGCGCTTTTCTACAACAAATTAATAACAGAGATGACGAATGTAATGGGAATAATAATCGTTATTTACGAAATTATGAATCGTAGATTTATGAGAGATTATTATTAATTATCAGAGAAGTTATTATTCGGGTTTTAAAATATGTCAATACTCATTCCATAAATCAAATTCAAAATTTTCAAGATATTTATATTAAATTTAGCATGCTTTTATTCAGATAGTATTTGATATCGCAGTAACATTCAATTTGCAAAAGTATATTAATGAAAATTGACAGAAAATTATCGATTACTAAATAATGGAAATAATGCTTGTATTTTTCATTTTCATCAATTCTCCGAAGCTTGTTTCGGTTTCACAATTCCGTTTTTGTCGAGCAAGGGACTCGCTTGGGACGTCTTTATGCAATTTTCTTTCGGTGTCGGGACACGGAGGTCCCGATGCTACTCGTTGCCAGCTGCACTCGTTGTATTGCAATGCAAGTATCAAGTAAGCATCACCGGTCGCTCGCCACCGGGTGATCCATTATGCATAAGCGCTCGTTTCGGCCAACAAAGAGCCTTGAGCTCCTCCGGAGCGACTCGTAAAAGCGAGCCACCTATCACGCGAGAAGACCGATGCGAGTCCGGGGTAATGTCGGCGATAAATAGCGCGGTTTATGCGCCCTTACGCCAATTCCGCCCGCCCCGGCCACCCCAAATCGCTCGAAATAGCGACTGCCGTTCTACGAATAGCATCGCTCAGACTGCTTCTTCCTTTCCGGCTCGATTCTCCCCCTCGGCAGCTAACGTTTCACTTGACGTTCGCAGATTTTTAACCCCTTTTGTTTCGGATACGTCGGCGATAATTAGCGGCCCTTATTCGAATTTCGCCCGGCTTCCGAATTACGCCAAGTGGAAGGCTACGAATGGATCCGCGCACCCCGGAGATTCCGTTTCCGCTGATTCTTTCGTAGGCAGACAATATTTCATTCGGAATGTCGGTGGGAAATTTCTATCCCTTCCGTTATAGATTTTCCAGATACGAACGTAATAACATTGGCGATAAAATAGCGTGGTTTACACGAGCCTGTGACATTTTCACACAGCCCGTTTCCGCCCATTCTCCATCCTCCGCTCAAAATCGTTTGAAAGAGCCGGGTAGCGTTTTATTCAGAATACCGCGTGGCGAAATGTTTTATAACCTTTTTTATTTTAAGTTCCGTGTAAATATGGGCACAGCATTGTCGGCAATAAATAGCGCCCTTATGTGCTAATACACGAACTCATCCACCCTCGCTCCAAATTGCCCGAAATAGCTGCAAGTCTATGAATAACGTTGTTCTCCAGGTTCTTTTTTATATCGTTTATTACTCTTATGGACAAATAACACACTTTGTTCGGGAAAGTTATGGAATTTATCCCCTTTGTTTTTCAAGGTTGTACAAATATAGACACAGGAATGTCGAGAATAAATTGGACCCCTCGCGAGCATGCCCTTACGCGATTTCCACTCTTTCCCGTCAAAGACACTCGAAATAGGCCAGCAGCATTTTATTCGGAACACTGGGAAAGTTTAATTCTTTCGTTCCGGCTTTTCCAAATGTGGACGCGGTAATGTAGCGACGGTAAATAGTACCCTTACGTGGATTCCACGCCCCTCTCTCTTTCCTCGAATTACTCGAAATAGTCTGTAAATAGCACCCTTTTACTCTTCAGGTTTTCGTTACCGGCGATTATTCTTGCTTTCGGACAGTTAGCAGTTTTATTCGAGATGCTGGAAAATCTCGTTCTCTCATTTTAGATTCGCCAAATATGGATACGGTAATGCCGATGATAAATGTGCGTCTTTACGCACTCCTGCGCAATTTGCATCCACTCGTCTCTCGTAAATTGCGAAATAGGCAAGCAACATTTATTTTATTCAGGGCACTAGGAAATCGTTGGCATTCGCCGATTTCTTATTTTTAATATTTTGTAATATTATTAACTATGTTAAATATCCAGATAAGATGTGACAGTTAAATATCACATGTGTGAAAAATTTAATTTTCACAAATAAAATTTTTCTCAACATCAGGTAAAATATAATAATTAAATGTCATATGCAAAGTTTAAATATTACTTAATATATTGTGTATGAAATATTATTTAAGTTTTACGTCTCTGTTGTGAACCGCGAATGTACAGTCTTAATTTTCGGGCTGTCCCTTTACTGACTCCCGGGGACTCATTTTCTCGCGCACTTTATGCAAACTATATCCTGCAAGCTCACCTCGAACAAGTGTTAGGATCCCCAGCGGCATCACCAGGATGGCGACCATAAGATCCGTGATCGCCAGGCTCATCAAGAAATAATTAGTAACATTTTGCAACCGTCGCTCCCAAGCGATCGCCAGGCATACCAGGATATTCCCCGCGGCCGTTCCCAGAACCAGGACGAGCGCCAGCATCGCCCACCAATTGTTGAGCTCCTCCGTGTCGCTCTGGCTTCCGGCGGGGCTCGCGCTCGTCGCCTCCACGTCGATTTCGCTGCTGTTCGGTGAGGAAACGACATCCCACAGGGTACTCAACGAGTAATCGTAAGGATCTGTCAAGACAATTTGCTCGGTCGTCGATCTCGTCATCGCTTGTCAGTCAAAACTTTCATCCACCAAGACGCGCACTTTTACGGTATTCGAGGGCTCTGCATCTGAAAGCGCACCGTTCAGAATTCGTCGTGGGATATACCGAATTTTTCCAAGTTTGGAGTTTTCGAAATAACGACAGATTTATTTCAAGATTAATAGCCGGAAATATGTTGGAGGATTTGAGGATTTATGAAATGGTGGAATCAAGAGGATTTACAAGGGATATAAACAATCCGGTTAAATAATCTAATTAAAAGACGTCATACGGCACTGTAGAATTTGAGAAAGAGAGAGAGAGGATTGAAATTGACCAGAACGATAAAACAAAATGAAATATTTTAGGAGCCAAAAATTCGAGGAACGGAAGCTCAGGCAGGTAGGATATTGGAGACGGAAAATTTAGAATGCCAGGAATTTACGAAATAAAAATTTGAGCGAAACAAGAATTCAATGTTAAAAGTTTGCTGAGACAAGAATGTAGCAAATTAAAAATTGGTGAACTTTAAAAATTCGAAGAAAAACGGCAAATGTCTGAAAGTACAAAGATTCGCGATTTAAAGTCGTAAATATAAAAATTCGAAAATCTATTACAATCTAAAAGTGCGTAAAATTGCGAGAAACTTCAAAATCTAATAATTTGAAAATTTTAAGATAATTCGATGATTTACAAATAGAGCTTTTTATAGAGTTCTTAACAACGCTGTACGTTTCGAGCTGGAAATACATTTCTCAAAAACTCGGATAAATTATTTTTGATGTAAGATAGTAAAATTGCAAAATTTTTCCTTTGGAGGAAGACCTTTCCGGAAGAGGCCATTCCGACTGCGTCTTCCGCGAATTACGAGTATCGATAGCGATTCAATTTCATCGATGCGACTGATCCGATATACCGGGTGATATATCGATGGAAAACGAGGATTACGTGTTCAACAGGTTACATCGGCGAGCGGATCGCTTAAGCGAGCATTCGCGTACATTACCGTCATTAATATATACGAGAGCGTACTTTCAAATTTTCCTACAATTAATCTGTCGCGATTTCAATTGAGTCGGTAGTCTCGGAAAATCTTGGATTTAGAAGCATTTTTCTGTGTGTCTCAGGTTGATTCATGATCTGATGTGTACCTGGATGTAGAACGGACGCTGGAAAAAGAAAAGTTAACGGCCTTAAGATTTTAAAATTTGTGATAAATCGCAAAGTTTCAGTAGTTTTGGGAATTGAAGATATGAAAGTTTTAACGGGTGTTCTTTAAGGAACTTAGGGAATTAAAAACAAAAGAAAGTCAGTAATTTTAAGAGGTATAAACACGTAAAACAAAATTTGTGAAGATTCATTTTAAAGGATTCTTTCCAAAACTTGAAAATTTACGAAAATGGAAAGTAAATCGATAAAATAAATTTGAGAAAGTTTATGGATTTAAGACCTTATAGTTTGCAGAGTTTTCATCATTTCAAGAATTTAAATTAATAAAATCTTTAAGAGAGTAGATTTAATAGAAATTCTTAAGCAATCAAAACTTTTTGGAGGATCATTTTAAAGATTTAAGAAAATGAATTAAACTGTTAAAATAGATTAAGTCAACAAAAAGTGAATTTCAAGAAATTCAACTAGGACTTTGAGGTCTTGGAATTTCTAGTTTCAGAAACTTGTATGATAAAAATCGATTTAATTAAAGAAGCAGTCATTTTCAACGAATTTTTTTGTAAATAAAAAGACACATATGCACAATCAAAAAATTAAAAAATTGATAATTTTGAAATTTTAGAATTTCCACAACTTTTTAAAAATATAGATTATAAAACCGAGTTCAATGGAGGAACTAAAATTTTTAAGAGAATTTTTCTAAAGGTACAAAAATTGAAGGAAATAAATTATTAACATGTATAAAATAAGCAAAATAATTTTGATGGTATTTAAGGAAATTAGGAAACGGAGGTTCTGGAATTTTCATACAGTGTTTCAGGAATTTCAATTGAACAAGTGGAGTTAACGGAAACTAGGAGAACTAAAATTTGCCGGATATTTCGGAAAACCGCAGAATCGGGACGCACATTGTTCGATGAACTTTCCTCCATGGTGAACGGACACTTGAGGGGTCCCGAAGGGCTTTCCGCGGTGGTTTCAAACGCGCGCGTCTCTGATAACAGGGATACCCGGGGGTGGCGACGGGCGAGTGATTCGCGGGTCGACCTCGGAACCGAGCGCGAAGGGCGAACAACGCGATCCACGGGGGTTGCTTCGCCGTGGACTACTAGCCCACTGGCTTTCATTTCGCCACCGTCATCCCCACCGGCTGTCTCGCCGGTGCTTCTCAACCCCCGGCGAGGGTTTTGCGACGCGCAAGCGTTGCCGCGCACGGCCTGCCCACATCGGGACACCTGTTCGTCCTTCGTCGTATCCCCTTGTATCAGATGCACGCGAGATGCAATGTCTTAGCAATAAATAATTGATGACACTTCTGCCTTTCCAATGAAAACTGTCGACGGTGCCGTATTTTTGCGCTATCTTTCCGAATCTCTTATTAGTTTTTCTCTGGAAAACCATGGAGGACGCTGGTACTGAAATGTTAAACTGTTCTCACGTTACGAAGCGCGATATGTCATTAAAACTATATTTCCTGGACTTTCACGTGGACATCTTCTCGCGAAACTTGGGAACGGTAAATTCTAGTGACAAACATCGAGACACAGGTATCATCAAGATATTTCTATTATGGAAAAGGGATTCACCGGAAAATGGAATTGCGCGAATGTTTTAAATATTGTTAGATTGGAAAAGTGTATACAAGTTAAATAGATAAAACACATTCTATAGAAATGCTTAATTATAAAAACCAATAATATGCATTGCGTTTCTGAAAAGTGGTATAATTAAAAAAAAGAGATAAACAAATTTTTAATAAAACAAGTAAATTGAAAAAAGAACTTTAAAAATTTAATAATTAATAACGTATAATATATGCTGCATACATAATGTAAATAAATTGTTATTCTATAAATGAATTATACATTGCTTATTTCTTTTTTATAAAGACTGGAATAAAGAGAATATTTCTTAAAACTTTAATTCTATTTTGTTAATTAACTGAAATTGTTAGATTTTATTTCGAGACTAGAGAAAATGTTTTAAATTTATTTTATAATACAATTGTCGTGTAATAATGGCAAAAAATATTTATTAAAATTTAAATTCAGATTAATTAGAACCTATGATTTATGAAGTAGTAAGACAATTAACAATTTTCAGATTTAGTTGAAATCATTTTGCTCAATTATAAAAAAGATTGTATTTATTGAAATCTACATTATCAAACACGTAAAAGTGGATTTAGTTGAAAGAATCCTGGTTAATTAAAAATTAAATTGCTTTTTATGAGGGGAATCAAATTTGGTTTTTTAAATACATTGTTTAACAATGTATTTAAAAAACCGAAATTGCATTTAATTGCAATAAACGGCCTTCAATTGCGAGAATTAAATAGTGTTTATTAACATATGTGTTTATCAAACGTATCAAATTACAGTTAATTGTAACAATTCTATACGTACATTTCTCACGTATGTATGTTTCCCAGTGAAAGCTAATCCTATTATCTCATTTTAATCATATCCGTGGAATTTAAAGATGCAAAAGGAGTTGAATATTAAAAAGGGATTGTAAAAAATCTCTTTCGCACCTTCATATCTCGGGCGATGCGTTTTGCATACTGATATCTATGTTCCTGAAATTAATACGGCTTTGTTCAAGTATCGAATTTACTTTGGTGCCATTTCCGCGATGTGTATTATTCCCTCCGATTTTCAACTCATAAATTCTGTCGATTTAAATCTGCTATATTTTCGCTCACTATTGTCAGAATAAATAAACAAATTGGTACATCAGTTGTGTTTTCGAAATTAATCTAGCTTTTAAAAAGTTTAAATTGATGTTGAAACTCCCTTTGCAAAATATTATGCTCTTTTAAATTCTATCTTTCTGTGTATCTTTAAGATAAACAAACAAATTGATAGATTATACCCTCGTATTGTGTGTAAGGGAATCTCGTTTCTCTTTAAATTGAATATCGATTTGTAACGCATAGCGTACGAAGGTGTCGTGAGAGAAGGATGCTAATCGCGATAAGCTCGTCGCGATAAATTGGACACGTATAAATGTTCCCGCGAAGAGCGACTAGAACGAGAGCGTTCCGCGAGCATTAACAAAACGCAATATAGTTCCGAGTATTGCGATAAAGGAGCGATTTATTGCGCCCTTGGGCGATTTTTTGCTCGTGCGCGTCGTGCGATTAAAAGACTCGCGGAAGGACACTCCCAGGAAACGAAATCCACGCTTTCGCGGATATGCGCAGATGATTGGGATTATTCTCGGTATCGCTCACGGTGATTCGTATCGCTCGGAGATTTCGTTCGGTATCATGTTTTCGTTACAACATCGCGTTTGATAAATAAGTCCGTAAGGATGTTTCTCTTTTTCCCGTTCGATTCGGCAATATCAGAAACGCGACAAAATACACGGTTCTCCTGTTCTCTCTATTTACTTCTGACTCGATTCAATATTTAAACAAATATCGATAGATATTTTATATACATCTATCAAAATGCACATTTTGATAAATTTATTTTACAATCAAACAAACTCGGATGTTAATTACATTAATCTTATTAGGTTTTCATAAGAATACAATTCCGTAAAGATCATTTCAGTACAATAAAGTATATCTTTACTGTCAAATACCTTCTTCCTGTTTGCGCTGTTTGCGA